AGGGAGTGTGGGGGGGATAAACCGCCCCCCACTCCGCAGCCCCCTGCCAAGCCCTTCCCACGCGCATCTCCAAGCCACCGAGTCAGGCAAGGCGGGCACCAGAGACGCGGGGCCCCGGGGCCAGCGGAGCCAAGAACACAGTGTGAGTCACCTTTAATTAAGAGTATTTCTTAAGTAAATGACTTAATAGGACAGTTATATTCATTAGAGGCGTAATTACAAGACTTAAGATGCAGCAGCAAAGCGCGTGGAGCGCGAGGGCGGAAACCAGTCTGAAGCTGCACCCGTCCCAGGGAGGCGGCGGGGGCGACGGCAGTGGAGGGGGCGCCCCCCTGTCGTGCGGTCCCCGTGGCCCACTCTCCTGCCAGCCCGCCCAGCCTCGGATCCCAGCACTCAGCGCGGAGTGGGGGAGGGAGCCGCCGGCATAATTAAAACGCAATAATAATAAACAAACACTAATTAAAGCATCCTAGAGTGTCCCATTAAACTCTGAGTCAGCCTTGACGAAGCACCGCCTGATGCGGTGGACACTCTCCGGGAGAAAGCTCCGGCTCCTTCTGGAGTTTCAGGAGACAGCGCCCGCCCCGCCTAGTCCTGGAGCAAGTGCTCACCCCACTGCCACCTGGGGGTGCCCAGCAAAGTGGCCCCTGCCTGACTCCGGAGGTTTGAACTTTATCCTTTACGGGCTTCACGGACTTGGAATCATTAGAACCAATTTCTCCCTGGGCATGAAGTCCCCAGAGTACTGTTGCCTCTCCCTGCACCCCCAAAGTTGCTCTTAGTTCCTTCCATAGACCCAGGACAGAGTCTTACTCTGTTTCTTCCTGGCCCCACGGCCTGGCTTTTCAAAAGGCTTCCCTAGGGATCTGAGACCGTCTGCGTGAAGCAGTTCTCAAACTTTAGCTTTGTGAAAACCCATTTCCGGGGCCCCCATCCCCAGCACATTTTTGATTTAGTGGACCTGGATTTTCATGATTAATAATCTCCAAGGTGAGGCCAAAGATGCCGGTTCGAGGGCTATACGTTGAAAGCCACTGCTCCTTGAGAGTCACGGGGCCGCCTTTTGAAGGACGTTTCTTTTGGCCAAGGAGGAATCCACAAAGCTCAGAGATGTCACGTGTTTTGGCTCCGTGGCCTTCACAGTCCTTCCCAAGGTCATGCACACCCGCCCCTCCAGACTTGCACCCTCGCTCTCTTGCCCTCCAGCAAGGTGTCTGCAGAAACTCTCTTTCCTGCGTCTGCCTACGTGCCCATCCCACCTGGACTGCTGCGTCTTCATAGATATGATTCACCTTTTAGGGCCCAGACACCTGCCGCGCACTCTCCACCCAGGGCAGCGCTGTCCGATAGAAGTAAAATCTGAGCCACAAGCATGAGCCACACGTGTAATTTTAACTTTCCCAGCAGCCACATTTCAAAAAGTGAGAAGAAACGGGTGAAATGAATGATACGTTTTATTTAATCCAATAGATGCAAAATTGCATCTTCCAGCCTCCCGATAAAAAAAAAAAAGAATACATGTGATATTTTCCTTTTTTTTTTCCTTTTCCCTGCTAAATCCTCGAAACCCTGCGTGTATCGCATACTCATGTTACGTCCCAATTCTGACCGAGCAGCGACATTTCAAGTGCTCCGCAGCCACCTGGGGCTAGTGGCTATTGTCCCGGACAGCGCAGAGCCTGAAGTGTTTTCTCTTTTGCTCTCAATTCCCTCAGTGCTCTCTGATATACCTCTCTTAGAACGCGTACCACTTCCTTGCTTTTATTGCTAGTCTGTTTGCAACTCGAAGGTGCTAGCCGTGTTGGGATGCTGTGGGTTTTTCTACTCTGAAGTGCCCAGCGGTCAGTGAGCACGGGCTGATGAATGACGGTGGCAGCACATGACTGTAGGAGACAGAGAGGGCCCCCGGGAACAGCTGACTTTGAGAGTCTCCTCCCAGTCACTGGGACGTTTCTTTCCTCTGGTTTGTGCATGACTTTTAGATCTTAGAGGAGAGAATAATTCAAGTTTTAGGATCCTCCCCCCCCCCCCACACACACACACATACTCCGCCCCCTTGCTTGTAAGTTTCCAGTTTCCTGTTTCACTTTGCACTTCAACTCCGGTGCATTAAAAAAAAAAAAAAAAAAAAAAAAAAAAAAAAATCCCACCAGGAGGGCCCAGGAAACAGGAAAAATAGTTGTGCCATTGGTTTCACGTTTGGAGAAGAACAGGGTTTCACTATCTCCGCGGCACTTGGCGTGAAAGTGGGCTTTGTTGCTGGAGACACTGCTCCCATTCAGGGCCCCCTTTCCCAGCTGCTGAGAGCCGGGCTGTGTTTTGACAGACGGGCCGAATGCAATGCAGACAGTTGTTTTAATTCCCAGCCAGATGCAGACATCACTCACGGAGAGCCCGAAACCCAAGAAAGGGAGGCCGGGCACTGGACTGCTGCTCTCAGGGCCCGGGAGGGCGGGTTGGAGGGGGCCGGCGGAAGCCCACCAGGCAGCCAGGGCTCCCGATACCCCAAAGGGCTGAGAGCCACCAGGCCTGGCACCGGCACGCTGGAAGGCCCCCGGCACGCACCTGTCCCCAAGGTGCCTCTTGCAGGCTTCGAGGGCCATGAGCAGGGTTCAAGGGTTACTCCGTAAGGCCTTGTGAAATCGGTTGGTGGCAGTGATGGCTGGATGTTATCTTTTAACTGTAGAGTCACACAGGACAACAATCCTAAATAGTCTCAGGGAGGAGTTAGGTAAACTGTGGGAAACAGAACCTTGGAATGTCGGAATGGGAAGGGACAAATGCAGCCCTCTTACGAGGGCAGAGATCCCTTTTACAGCCTCCCAGACAAATGTCACCTTGACTGTGGTCATGCACCCCAGTGGCAGGCGTTCCTTCGGGAAGCCAGGCGGTTGCATTCTTGGACAACACTGACTTTCTTTCGAGCTTCCCTGAAACTTTTCCCCCACGAGTCCTATTGCGGCCACACTGCGGCCCTTCAGACACTGGGAAACACCCTCCTGGAGTCCCTTGAGACTATTCTTCTTTGGGCTGAACAAACGTCCCAGGTCCTCCCCTGTACCCCAGATCCACATCAGGGTCCCAGCCCGTCCCAGCCCCCCTCTGGTTGAGCAGCGTCCCTCCGAGGGCAGGTTGCAGAGACCTGAGCTTGGGACTCCCCGGTGTGACACCGCCTCTCTGGACCCTAACGCTGTGTGTCTATTTATGTAGCCCAGGATCAGATGAGCTGCTTTCAGTATCGCGTCCCCCTGCCCTGTGATATCGGACTTCGAGTCAGTTCAAACCCTCAGGTCCTTACGCTTGAGCTATCTCCAGCCAGCGATGCCCCAACCTACACTTGGGGCATCAGGGTTTTTAAAACTGAATTGCAGGATTTTACACTTATCTCCCCGCATTTCATGTTTTTATTATTAAAGGAAAGTTGGGGAGGTTTAAAGGCCATCATGTCGCTCACAGAAAAGCCTTATATGGAATGGCAAGTGTGACAGTGTAGTAAGGACAGTGGGGACAGCCAACAGAGAGAGGAGGGGCTCTTCTCCTCCCCCCACCTCACCTCATCCGGGCACACCCTGCACTCAAGGTGTGCTGAGCTTGTCCGTGATTCAGCTCGGCTCGTCTCTCCAGGTCTCTGCATCTGGCCCATCCTTACCCTTCAATACCTGCCCTCATTCCCCTGGTCCCTTCCTCCCCATAGCTTATACCTGCCGCCACTCCTCTAAGCCTCCAAGCCCCCCAGCGTGAGCATTGGGGGCCAACCCCATGCAACAAAAACGCAGCGCAACAGGGCAGCTCTGCATTTGCAATTGCCAACTCCCTCCGGGCCCCGCAAGGGTAGAATCCGTGTGCCGCTTGCTGCCGTTTCTCTGGCGCCTAGCACCGGACCCTCCACGGGGCCGACATCTGATAAACATTTGCAGAATGCACAGTGTTAGGGTCCTTCCAGAACCTCTCCGGAGGATGCCGTGAAGGTGTCTCCATCATATATCCTCTGTCCTCCTGACGGAGGCAGAACGCGGTGCTGCTGGGCCTCGGGTTGTGTTTTCACTTGCGCTCACACATCCGGTAGGTGGGGGACCTCAGTGCCCTGACAAGTGACAGCCCATTCCCAGCCCGGCAAGTGTTTCTGCAGCACAGCAGCCTCCTGCCCCGGCTGGGGACAGACACCTGAGACGTACTAAATGGAACAACACTTCAGGCCTCTAATCCCCCCCCTTGCCCGGCCTTCGTTGTCACCCATCCTGTGCAGGTAGGAGTGAGTGAGCAATATCCAAACTCGCAACCCCGCGCCCCAGAAAGCCAGAACGCGTTTGCAAGGGCTGCGCTCTCTGGGGGGTGGGGGGCAGGGTGTCGATCTGCAAAGAGTCCCACTTTCCGGGCAAGACAGACTCATCCCGGCAGCTCTTTTCTGTGGATGTTCCCATTTAGCCAGACTTTTCAAAGGCCGGGAGATTTACTAGAGAGGCTGAATGCAGACATCAGAGAATGGGATAATTGGATCCAGGTGGTATATTCGGTTGGCTGTAAAGAGCCTGTGCCGTACTATGAATATTATTTGACGGGGAAAAGTTTCTCCTCTCCCCTTTTTGAATGTTTTCTGTGCAGGCAGGATGTCTCAGCCCCAGCCCAGCTGAAAGCTCTTCAGAGATGAGTTTGTGCCACTCAATAGCCTTTCAGCAGAGTTAACCATTTTCAGCACTTGCCACTGGCTTGCCCGGCTCTCGAGAGGAAGTCCGTGGCAGGCAGAAATAGACTGGGGGGATTTGCTTCCACCTCTGGCAAAGGCAAGAAGTCTCAGGCCTGCCGCTGGGAAACACGCTCTGCCTTATGGGGGCGAAGAGATGAGGACATCGAGGGTGGCCGATTTGCCCCCCCACCCTGCTCCATGTCACCTCTTTAGGGGAGGTGGCAGTGCGAGTTTGAGTGGATGTAGGTGTGTCTGATACACATCTGCTAGATGTCACCACCTGACCTCACTATGCCCTCTTTCCTCTCTCTGCCAGGTCACCAGGGTCCCCGTGGAGTCATGCGAACAGTATACGACTTGTGGGGAGTGCCTGAGCTCGGGGGACCCTCACTGTGGCTGGTGCGCCCTGCACAACATGTAAGTCGGGGTGTCCTGGAGAAGGGCTGGGCACGCAGAAGGCCGGGGGCTCTCCTGGGGTCATGGGATGTGACCACAGTTTGCACAGAGACGGGAATCACCCTCTTCTGAGCAGCAATTCTAATCGTGGCTCTGTTTCTGAGAGCAGGAAGAAGCAGAGAGGCCACGGGCAGGCCTTCTTTCTTAATGCAATGCCTTCGCCTCCCTGTCTTTCATTTTACTTCCAAATTCTGCCCTCCCAGCTGCGCTGCAGTGACATGCCGATATCTCCGTGTCATTGACAGAACGCACAGGGAAGCTGTAGAATCTCTAGGTTTCCCCAAAACTTCCTCAATGGAGCCTGAAATAGGTGCCCCCCCCCCCGCCAAGAGCACGTGGACGGCGGAGTACTGGGGGGAGGTGGGGTGACGGGGTGGTTTGGACCCTGGCTAGCTGCTGTGTGTGACCCTGGCAGGGTCCACTGACAATTCCAGGCTTTTCGTTTCCCCATTGCCAGATAGGGAACATGCCTGTTTCGCAGGTGAATTGCGAAGCCTAAATGAAATAATAAATGCTTTGGAGACAAGGAAGCCCAGACGAGGCTACACAAATCAAAATAATTATTATGGACCCTGGCCCCTTGGGGGGGCCCTTCTGGCCTCATTATTTCACGGTTCCAAGAAACCCGAACCTCACTCCAACTGGCCTCATCCTCAGCCATTGAATACCCGCTCAATAGAAATGCAAAATCATACTTAAACTTCCTAATTCGAAGAGCCCCAGAGGGAGAGAACAAGGCGGGAGCTGGCTGGGAATGCTGTCGCCCGGTGGAGTTGGAAGCTCGGTGGCTCCGTGCCAGTCACCAGAGCATCTCGATGCAGTGCGCTGGGTTTGGGGTGGAGGCGGAGGCAGAGGGCCAGAGTTCAGGGTCCTGCACAATAGCTCTTGGCTTCCAGCCTCTGCAGCAGGTGTTGGGAGGGCTCTGGAGGGAGGGAGAGAGGCTGGTGCCTCACAGATGCAAAATCCGGACTGGATTTGAGCCCACGAATACTGGGGACCCTGCTCGGGTTGTAGAGGTAAGAGACGCCTCGAAAAGTTTTGCAAAGATGCTCTTAGAAAAACCTTGGACAGCTGAGTCTCCATTCAGGTCAGACGAGGGGTAATTATGCTGATGCCATCCACCCACGTTGCACCCCAGGACTGGCAAAGGTGTGGGGAGGGGGTAAATTTGGGTTCCCTCCAGTGAGTTGATTCACCAGCCAGCCAGCAGGCTCTCTCTCCTCAAAAGAATTTCTTCCTCCAAAGAACATGACAGTCCCCCACCAGCTCTGTGCAAGGAGTCCTGGGCTGCTTGCCCTGTGGCTCTGCAGTGATCATGTCTAGCTACGCCACCTACTCCCTGCTCCTCTCCTCTCTGCCCTCCCAGCTTCAGTGCCTGTGGCTCTTCTCCCATGGAGAACACACCAAAATTACGGATCAGGGACTATCATTTATTCGACAGCAGGGACATCTGCTTTCCCTAACTCGTCCTAACACCTACAGATCCAAGGGCAGTGCCTGAGTCTCCCAGCTGCCCAGACCACCCCTGTCGTCCTCCTGGTCGAGGTCAGCTGTGGCTACTGGAGTGACCAAGCCTGCACTGAGAGTCCTCCCTGCCTGCCAGGGTACTCCTCCCCCAGCCACGCTGCCTCCCAGAGGTCCTCCTCCTCGGCTGGTCACCCTCATCTTCACCAGCCCTTCGTGCAATGCTCTCCCAGCTGTCCCCAGAAGCCCGACTCTGTGACAGGGGAATGAAGAGATGAGCAATCTCCAGCTCCCAGGCCGGCCTCAAGGATGGAGGGAGGAAGACGGCTAAAGAGCCTCTGGGTCTGGGGCGGATTTGAAACCTTCCAGCCTCTTCCGTGTGCCTTGCTCTTGCAAGTGTGTGATTGTCTCCCGGCTATTTATCTCTGTTAGAGCTGTTGCCATAAATAGTATGATAAAAAAGAGCCATTTCAGTGAGTCAATGAGATAAAGGCTCCAGTCAAGAGCTCACTTTAGAGCTATCTTAAGGATTCACTTAAACCTCAATAATTCTTTTCTTTGACAGCATTCATATTTAGATCCATTATGTGCCTGGAAAGGGAGAGGGGGAGGAGTTTGGGGGGGGAGCGAGAGCGGGAATCACTGCTCGATTGTGGAATCTGGTAGTGTCCCCACGGCTATCTGGTCGGGACACACACCAGTCCTGGCGCGCCTTCCCATGGGACAAGGACGGAGGCAACCGGAAGCTCCCGGGTGCTGGTGTCACCTGCCCACCTGTCCCTGTGGGCGGAGGAGCCCAGCGCCAGAGATGAAGATGTTGGGGGAAACAGCCGCACGAGCTTTCTGACACAGGCAACCCCGGCTGCGGCTCCTTGTCTGTCTCAAGGCATTATTTCATGACATAGACGTTTATTTAAAAGACACCATGTGACAGGTAGAATATCCCAATGAATAAAACATGGCCACTGCCTTCAAAGAGCCATTAATCCACCCCCAAGATCCTAGGCACACTGTCCCCAAAAATAAGACCCTTTCCTACTTTTAAAATTCCTCTAGAGGGGCAACAATAATATTAATCATTGTCATCATCATCATTAATATTAGCATTATTGGGGCTAACGCTGACACAGCACCTCCTGCGTGCCAGGCCATTTTCTAAGCAGTGACACCTTCGGTCCTTACACCAACCCCATGAAGTAGGTGTTATCATCATCCTCGTTCTCTTCTTACAGTAGAGGAAACTGAGGCAGAGAGAGATTAAGTCACTTGCCCAAGTAGGTGACAGGCCTGGGGTTAGAGCCCGGGGACCCTGACTACAGGATTCACGTGCTCAGCCTAGTGCTGGGCCCCTGACTTCCGTCACCTGCTCGTCCCCGAGACCCACAGCGCTGTGAGCAGTTATCCTTTATGTCTACACCGCATCTCTCATGTTGGGGATTAATCCTCCTTCCTCTTAGTCTGTCTTTAGCTGCTCTGGAGACCATCTGGGAGTCCCCAGAGCCCTCTGGAGCACAGTGAAAGTCATCAGGGGAAGGAGAGCCCCAGGCCTCGGGGCCGCTGCCCCCCTTCCCGCCCAGGGGACAGTGGAGCCAAACAGATGGGGCCCAGAGGCCTGACCTCTTGCGAATCTGTGTTTGCGGCAGGTGCTCCCGCAGGGACAAGTGCCAGCGGGCCTGGGAACCGAATCGATTTGCTGCCAGCATAAGCCAGTGCATGAGCCTCACTGTGCGCCCCAGCAGCATCTCCGTGTCTGAGCACAGCCGGCTGGTGAGTGACTCGCCCCCGGGGGACAGGGAGAGGGAGCGAGGAGCGTGCACCAGCGTGGGGTGCTCCTTGAACGCCTGCACGAGTACCTGTGACTGGGCCAGGCTGTGAAGAGCCAAGGAAACGTTACGTTTTTAGCAAACCAGTGCTAACTCCTGTTGCAAAGGGCACAGACGTTCTCCGGACTCCCTGCAAATTCGTTACCCGTTGATCTGTTTTGTAAATCTAGATTTTTGCATTTGGGAACAAACATCTACTGCATAATGCAATCCGATACCAAATAACAACGCATTTTTTAGTATCTGCTGCATTTATAATCCTCCACTTGCTACATTCTCACAGAAATCTATCTGCAAGTTGCCTGTGTGTGCATGTGTGTGCATGTGTGCGTGTGTGTGCGTGTGTGTGCATGTGTGTGTGTGCATGTGTGTGTGTGTAAGAGAGAAAGAGCCTAAAACAGGGAGAGACTGAGACTGAATTCAAAGTCAGTATGTGCTTAAAGAGAATATAAAACAGAATAAAATAGCCCTTAACTACTAGTCAAGGTACAACCCCAAATATTCCATGTCCTCCTCGGGCCCTGCACTGTTATTTCATTCTGAAGGTTTTATGAGCATTCACGAATGTTAATTAGTTAATGAACCTTCCAAAATTTCGTTTCATTCATCCCCACCAGGAGGTTTTAGCTCCAACAGAGCTGGGGGAATAAACAGGGGAGTTTGTACCTAAGTCTCTTAGTTCCATGGAAACTAAAGTGGGACAGAGACTCAGCAGCAAACAAGCATGTGGGAAGGCCAGGCAATACCCATTGTGACTGAGAAACCCACTGCAGATAAATGCCACCAGGTGCAGGTGGGAAGACACAGGGGAGCCTCCCTCTGTCATGGTCCCCAACGTGGAGGCTGTGGGGGTGTCATCACCCCGAACCCTGTGGGCGCTCCTCGTGGCGAGAGCGAGCCGGTCTCGAGCTGTATCTATTCAAACACTGCTTAGATGTTGCATTGCAGTAACTGAGTACAAACTCGTTTAAAAGCTCACTGGATTGAAAGCAGCTTTTTGTCATTAAATGTTTTCTCAATCATCAGATTCTTCTGAGAGTCTGTGATATTTTTGCCATTAAAAGGAGTGTTGGCTGGGTGCCGTGGCTCTTGCCTGTAATCCTCGAGCACTGGGAGGCCGAGGCTGGAGGATCGCTTGAGCTCAGAAGTTGGACTGACACCCTTCTCTCATGGATGAGGTTGGGAAATCAGTGAGCAGGTGCAGTGGGCCACGGCCGGGAGCACCCCGTCTCCTGAGCGCGTCCTACGTCTTCTTTGCTTTGCTCCTGAGCCTCTTTGCTCCTCCCCACAGCTCAGCCTGGTTGTGAGTGACGCCCCTGACCTGTCTGCGGGCATCTCCTGTGCCTTTGGGAACCTGACGGAGGTGGAGGGGCAGGTGTCTGGGAGCCAGGTCATCTGCATCTCACCTGGGCCCAAGGATGTCCCTGTCGTCCCTCTGGACCAAGGTAAGAAGTGTGCGTCATGAGGGTCACATGCTCGGGGCTGCTCTTCCGGGGTGAGGTGGAGGCACAAGTGGCAGGCACAGAAGTTGCCTGGCCAGCTCTTCTTATGCAGACACTCGTATCGGCTTATGCGGCCTGTTTGAGTTTGAAAGCAAACTGCCATGCCCCAAAGCGAATTTCAGAAAGAAGGACAACCCTTGCGTCCATTTGGGTTAAGGCTGCAGAGTATGCAAAGAGTCTTTCCAGTCTTCCCCAGGTTGTCACTCCACTCCACTTCCAGGAATGGGATGGCTTCCATTGGTGGTTTTCATTGTCTCCTTGCCACATAACTGGGGGCACTGGCCTAAGATTTCTGAAATTCTTTCAGTAACCGAACAGGCCTGACCAAGGCAGGCCGTTCCATAGAATGTGTTCCTTCCCTGCTATGGCCAGGGAATGTCTGGGTCTGGTATTCACCCAAAGGGACTTTCTTGGGAGGAGAAGAGGAGATTTGGGCAGGTTCTACCTGCCATCTGTGCCCCCAAGAAAGCCCTAAGGTGGCTTTGTGACTTACCCTTTACCTTCAGGCTGTCCAGTGGGTCCCCAGGTTGTCACTCCAATCTTTTCTTTTCCAGACTGGTTTGGCCTAGAGCTGCAGCTGAGGTCCAAGGAGACAGGGAAGATATTTGTTAGCACCGAGTTCAAGTTCTACAACTGCAGCGCCCACCAACTGTAAGCACTGACTGCAAAAAGTGTTGCTCTGGGTCTGGACATGGGTGTGGGGTTTCTCTCCCCCTCAACTCTAAGCTTCTTTGGGACAGAAATCATGTTGTAGTCGCCTCATAGTCTCCCTATGGGGCCTGCCACATTATTTGGACAGAGTACACTGTGCATAAATGTCGCTATATTAAACCGAGCAGCATTCACTCTCTGTAGCCTCTGATCTCATTCAGTCTTCCTTGGCCCCCACCCCAACACCCCCTGCCCCCAGCTCTCAAGCCAAGGCAGTAAAAAGAGGGTCATGGCCCAGGAATCACAAGAAAAGCTCTCCAATTTAGACCAGTTGGCGATGTCTTTGAAGGTAGAGATGGGCAGTGAGTGGAATTTGGACATGTCATCCCATAAGCAAATGGAAAAGGAACTCCAAGACAGAGAGTCAGCTAGTTATGTGCACAGCTACCCACAGAGGAGGGGCAGAGGTGGGGAAAGCACCCCTCAGCATACGGTAAAAGGACTGGGCTGTGCAGGGAAGGTGGAGGCTTTAACTCTACCATTTTCCAAATCCATCTTTCAACTTTTGAAAGAGGAGAGGAAACCAGACAGACCAAACCACCAGCCACCAGACGAGCTTGAGTTCAGCTCAGCTGGCCTCACCAGTCATCTCCAACAGCTGAGTGCCTGCCAACTGGCACCCCCAAGCTAGGAGATCCCACAACTGTGCAGGAAGCTGGGAGCATTTCACAAGGAAAAAGCAGGGTCAGGAAGGGAGGAGAGAGACCCCTACTTAGTTTCTGCTGATCCTCTTTGGAAGATAAACCGTGACCGGTCCACAGAAGCTGGGAACTCATGCACCATTTGGTTTACAAAGAGGGAAACACAAGTCTCTATAAGAGAGCCACATAAAGGTCTTAGGACCAATGACCCTGGACATTCCGCAAGGGGAGAGGCCAAACAGCAGCTCCCAGATGGGGCAGTAATTAAGGACATCCCTTCCCATTGCCCAGGACAGCAGCCACTTGAGATCAATATTATAGGCAGAACTCCAAGGGCACCAGATCTGTAGGGTCCAAGCTAGGGTCACAATGGGCTCAGCAATCAAGGTGGTAAGAGGGTCAGTTTGCAGCTATGCCCTAAGGCAATCTCTGGCCATTAAAATAGACATATGAGCGACTCCTCCTCAGCCTCCCCTTTTCTGATCTTGATTTTCATGATTAGAATAATCTTCTGGAGTTACAGGGTCTCTATATAGTAGCTAAGGAAGGAGACATGTCTGAGCCCCACTTGTGCAAATCAATAGATGTGCTGGGAAAGACAGAACAAATGGTAAAAATGGTCTGGCAGGAACCAAAGCAAAGCAGAAAGCTGCTGAAGCTGAAATGGACAAAATTGCCTGCTAACCACTTCAATCCAATGCCAGCCAACCCTGCTTTGGGACATGCAATCTTCTTGGAGAGAGAACTTCTCCCCTCCTTCTCAAACTCCAACATGGCGATGATGGAATCCATTGTTAGTGAGAGCACCCTCATCCCCATGGCAACCCCATGTGATGTCACCACTTTCGAAGATCCAGTGCTATGGCAACAGAGATGCTGTCACAGGCAGCAAGTCTGAACAGAAAAAAAGCAGGTCTCTTTGACAGCAAAGATTCCATTTTATCCCCAAACACTATCTATCTATCTTACCCTCCTCTACTCCCGACATTCACAGTGAAAAGTCACAGAATCGAGTTGAGACCCCTGTATACACTGAGGCCCGCAGAGGATAAGGCCCTAATTAGTCAGGAGAAGAGCCAGGTCTGGCTAGAGCCCCAGTGCCATTATCCTTTGGTCCTTCGTCCATTCTCGTTATTTACTTACTGAATTGTAAGGTGGTAGCAAGAACCAGTTGATTTGAGAGTCCATGAAATAGCGTTGGCCTAAGCTTAGAAACCAACTTTGGGCGTATGCAGATGGGGATAAAATGATGTGCATGGGAAGAGGAAGTATAGGCGGGTCAGCACACCTGACCCTGGCTGGATCCCCAGATGCCCAAATGTAATCAGGACCCCACCAGGTGGCGCCAGACTGCAAACCTGGCCTGTCCATTCCAGGTTGGTCTAGGGAAAGACCAGAGTAGGGAAGCTGGCAAGGAGGAGGAAGACCAACCCCATCCACAAGAGCTATTTCCATTATAATGGTCTGACCAGGCACAGAGAGCCAAAATAATATACACAGCCCGCAGGCAAAATTGGAAGGAAAGAAGTACTCACCCTGGTTAGAAAGGCATGTGCCGCACACATATTCTTTTGTTCCATCCCTAGACAACTTGAGGAGTGGGACAAAGCTATCATTTAATACCGTTAACTCCCCCAAGTTCAATAACACAGGTGATATGAACCAACTGTTAACACTCACATGTTACTTAAGAGGTTGAAATAACAGGTAATTTAAGCACTTGAAAATAATACTCACATTTAGCATTGTACTTTTCGAAACCATTTTCTGTGCATTATCTCATTTGACACCAACCAGCCCTGAAGCATAGACAGGAATATTTTATTACAGACAGATGCAGAACCTTCAATTCAGAGGGTTAAGTGACTTACTCAAGGTGACCCCAGGGCAGCGCAGAGGCAAGACTGGAATCGGATCTACCCAATTTCTAGCTATGTGCTCTATCCGCTGTTCTACCTTATATGCAATTGTATGTTGGTAAATGTTTAACTACCAACAATTGGGGAAAAACTTTGCAGCATTGCCCATTTCTGTGGTGTAAATATTCCTACCATTGCCAATTTTAAGCTACCAACCTGAGGTCTACCTTGCAAAATTTCTGACAATATGATCAGCTCTCATGAGCCAGTACAGGCCAGCTGCAGCACACCACTGCTTTGTAAGTGACGTCAGTCCCACTTGGGTCTCAATGTCTTTCCAATTTTATGGTCCTGTGAACACCTTGGATGGAGAATCCACAATGCTCAGTGCTAGAGAATGGCCTACCAGTCAGCTGTCCTGAGAGTGAGACAGAATTAAAGATTTCCATCATGACGCATGGCTGCCTGACCTGCCTTTACCTTCCCTCTCCTCTCCCTTCCCTTTGCCTCTTACTTTCTCTGTCTTTGCAGGTGCCTGTCCTGTGTCAACAGCGCCTTCCGCTGCCATTGGTGTAAATACCGTAACCTCTGCACTCATGATCCCACCACCTGCTCCTTCCAGGAGGGCCGGATTAATATTTCAGAGGTAAGAAGGGTCCGCCTTGGCATGGCCACGTCCCCAGTGAATCTGAGTGGCCCCTCACTTTTTAGATGGTCAGTCCAGTGGCTTGGCCGTCTCCTTGCCCTGGCCCTTCTTGGCCCTCTTATCAGAGATTCTACATGTTAGAAAGCCCTGTTATTATAAAGCTCACAAAAACTGGCAGCAAATGAACCCAGAGGCAGAGGCTATATCTACTAGACTCCTAAGACTGTATCCATTCAAAAAAAAAAAAAAGCTTAAAGGTAACTGGGGGTTGAGACTGAAAGCTTAGAGGAAACATATCCAACCAAACAGACTCCCTGGTCTAGAAGAGTACAGTGAATGCCATTTGTTCTTTGAGTCTGGCCCTTTGCTTAGCTGCAGACACAGTCTAGTTCAATAAAACATTCACTCTCAACCATTCTTTCATGCCAACTTCTCTTCCAACTCTAAAATTCAATGATTCTTTGCCTCTGATGTAGGACTGGGAGGGTGGCCTTGTAGCAAGAGAGAGAAATTCAGCTAGTAAAAAGAACCAGGCATTACTAAAAGTCTTATTTTATTACACAGTTGAAGCTCCCTCCCAAAAGCCGGACCCACCTTTGTTATCTGCACAGTGAAATATCAAATTGCTTATCTTTCCAATGAATATTCCATTCAGTGATTATTCACTGATGTTGACTGTCTTACACATTCATGGCATGTCTCAGGACGGTAAAGCCTGCGTGGTGAGTTTCCCATGCTCGTGTCTAATGCTCTTCGTGCCCCAGGTCGGCCAGTTGCGTTTGAACAACTGTAGAGACCCTATGTATTCATAAAAATGCAAGTGTGTGTATATGCACAATTCCCTCTTGTTCCACCTTTTAGAAAATCCACAAATGTTAATAAGTGACAATGTAGCATATTCACATACTGCCATGGTCTTTCTATACACATCTTCTTGCACTAGGCTGTCAGCTCCCTGAAGGCAAGGACTGTATCATATCTTTAGAGACTCAGTGAATGTTTGTAGACTGCATGCCTGAAAGAACGGATGAACCAATGACCTCTCTACCCACATGCCATTGATGGGACTTGTTTCTACTTTTCTAAGATTTCAAGAAATTGTGTTTCTTGTGTCTCCTAATCTTGGTATCTGTGCTGGTTGCTTCTGTGTCTAAGCTTAAGAAAATAGACCTTGAAAGGTTTTCCGAACACATACCTATGGCCTTGAACTCTTCTGAGTTTCTGAAGCAACACGCATTATGGTCAGTCAGAAAAATGGGATTTGCCTGTCTGAAAAGGGAGAAACATCGATGGTCCCCACAGGTGGCAGGAAAGACAGACACTTCCACAGGTGCGTGAGCATGATGGAACCAGGCATCTCGTGCCCTGGGGACCTTCCAGAAGAAGGATTGCCCTCTAGCCAGTGTGAATACTTCAGTGCAGCTGGCCTGGAAGCACTACGCTGGTCTTAGTGGACACCGGAAATTAATTCCAGCCCTGGAATTCTTTCCGGCCAGTCTCGTCGCTGGGAGGAAAGGGCCCAAGAGCTGCAGGTGGGGATGGGGTGGTTGCCATAGTTCGGGAGCCAATGGAAGCACGGCTAAGGGTGGCAGGCCAGCGGGGAAGAGCAGGGCCTCCTCGGGAGGCCTGGCCAGGGGCGAAGGCCGGGCAGTGAAGACTGGGACATACAGTCCCAGACACTGCTTTCACAGGAGCCACTTCTGAGCTTCCTGACAACATGATGGAAGAGGCCCCCAGAACATGGAGGCTGAAGTGCAAACCTGGACACACAAGACAGCCGCTCCGTTTTCTGGGAGGACACCCCCTTGGGCAAAGAGAAACCACAGCCAGGCCCGAAGGCGACCTGCAGCTGGAGCAAGGGCAGGCAGAGTGTTACCCGGAGCAAGACAAATAAACTCTGCCCGGGTGTGCGTGGAGGCCCGGAGCCCTGCGCCCCAGAGGGCTAATTGGAAACAGGCCCGGCCTCCCTCACGCCCTTCCAGAAGTGACTGAAACTCAGCTCCCTCTCAGCGGTGAGAGACACAAACATTCCGGACAGCTGGCCCCAGAGAAGCCGTGCCTCCCTGCGACTCGGGATAAATCAATAGCAAAAGAGCCCTGGGGGCGAACCCGGACACTTCCCACCTCCTTTTTGTTTCCTTTTCTGTGCTCAGATGTCTGAGCCTTGGGGTTGTGTCCCCTCCTCTCCTGTCACCCCGAATGGGAACAGGCTGGACCAGCCCCAGGGATTGGCTCTCGAGAGGATGGAGAGGAAGCCCACGCTCCACCCAGCTCCCAGCTTCGGCCAGGAAAGGAAATAAGGTGCAGATTCCCAGGGAGGCCACCAGCCACCTCCTACCGGCTTCCTGAAATGCTGCCTTAGCGCCTAGCCACAGACAGCCACGGGGCCCTTCCCAGCAAATCGCTCCAGGGCCCTGCTCTTTTCTGTCCAGAGATCTGCTTTCAGGGAACCCCGTTCCTAAGATTTGGGGAACAGCAAAGACGCCCCATGCCTTGAATGAGGCTTCTTTGACTCTATCAGGGGTCCCTTCTGATGCCTGCTTGCTGTTGGGGGGACTGGAAATCGCCTAGCTGTCTCTTTGGGGTTCCTAGAATATCTCTTTCAGATTTCCAGTAAGCCTCCTTTCCCAACTTTGAATCAAAATTTTATGTCTGTCTACTTCCTAGAAACAATGTATAACTGATGAGCTCCATTGATTACTGCAGCCATATTAAAGCATCACACATTTGTACGTCTTTCACTCGAGGCAGGAGTTCTCAAAGTGCGCCTGCCAGGGACCAGCAGCTCCAGCGACACCTGGTAACACATTAGAAATTCAAATTCTCGGGCCCCATCCCAGGTGAAGCTAAAGATTGAGAACCACTGACACCTGGCATTTCCATTGATTCTCGCAACAGCTCTGCAGTTTCACATAATTCATATTTGACATCTGTGGTAAGCAAGATGCTAAAAATTTGGGGGAGGTTTTTTTTTTTTTGCCCAAGGCTACAGAGAACTCAAGCATCCAAAAAGGCTGAGTACAGTCTGCTTTCGACAGAAAAGCAGGGCCCGCGAGCTTGTGCGTGTCCATACCCACAGCAATACCCGCTGGCCTGGCTTCAATCTGGCCCTTCACTGCTGGTCGTGAGGGTCCAGGCTATGGACGGGCCAGCACAAATCCGTCCCTGCAGGTGGAGAAACTGCCCACGGAAGATGGGTCAGTAGTGCCATTTCCAGAGTTCAAAAACAGCCGGCGTATGAGGTAAATCTGCACGCATTTTTCCGGAGGGAGGATGGAACCATTCCCATGCTCAGGCTCGACAACGAGGAACAGCTGTGCTAGAGTGAATGCCATTCAGAATGAAAGTATTAGTAGTTAACATTTATTGAGTGCTTATTATAGATGCAGCGTTTTATATATACATATATATAAATCTCATTTAATCTTAAGCACGCCATATAGGAAGTGGATTCTATTATAAAAAAATAAACTGAGGCTTAGATGAGTTAAAACAATTTTCCTATGATTGTCAAATAAATACAGAAATCAGGATTCAGAGCCAGTGTTCCAAGATGGCCTTGGATAAGTTGGAGTCTTCTGTTCCTACGTGCACGTGCGCGCACACGCACGCACACGCACGCACACACGTGTGCACACACATGAAATATGCAGCGACGTTAACAATGGTTAATCCAGCTTACAAGGGCTGTCCGGGAAGTCTCTAGCCATGTAATATGTTCTCCTTACATCCACCATGGCTGGATACTTTCCAGACAGCTTTCGTATTCCCACTTCAAACGTACTTTCGTATTCCTCTGTCCTGCGATCTAGGGTTGTCAGGTGTTACTGGCACCGTTTTGTAGTTGAAGAAACTGAATTTCTCAAGGTCTCGTAAGGTAACGTGGCAGACCTTTCCGGCGCTCAGCGTACAACGGGATCTCGGATGGGGCCCCCAAAATCTCTACCTCCCTGGGCAGGATCAGGCTGTGACAAGGTGTTAGCAAGCAGGCGTGCGCGGGAGTGTGTATGGCTTTCAGCTTTTAAAGCTCATCTTCCTCCATGGCTAAACCAGGCCTAGTGAGATGTAGATACATAAATATCTTCTTTATGCCCTGTCCCAGGGGAAAGATAGAACCAAATAAATCCGATTAGCTTCCCAGGATGCTGGCTGCTCTCTCTCTTTGAAGTCCAGTGGGTGAAGATAATGCCATTTCCACAGGGGAGAAGTCGTTTCAGAGGGCTCACGGGTCCCCAGCATAGAAAGCGGGCAGAACACAGCCGCAGAGGGTGGGCAAGGGGGCCCCGAGACTCACAGGGCTCCTGCCCCAGGGTCCCTGTCCTCACTGTGACTGTGCTTCCTCTTCCCCACCTGCCCCACCACTGTGGGATATTCCCAAACGGGACATCTGTTCATCTTGATTTAAGCTAAGGGTGCTCCTGAGGAGGTGATCCTGGCTCCAGGTGGCCTGGAGACAGAGAAGGAATCAGACGACCTCAAGAGGTCATGCAGAAGGTGGCGAGGCACAGTATATAAGAATGATAACAACAGGCCAGGCACAGTGGCCTCACCCTGTAATCCCAGCGCTCTGGGAGGCTGAGGCGGAACGATTGCTTGAGATTAGGAGTTTGAGACCAGCCTGAGCAAAAGTGAGACCCTGTTTCTACTAAAAATAGACAAATTAGCTGGGCGTGGTGACACACACCTATTAGTCCCAGCTACTCGGAAGGCTGAGGCAGGAGGATTGCTTGAGCCCGGGAGTTTGAGGTTGCTGTGAGCTGAGATGACACCACTGCACTCTAGCTTGTGTGACAGAAGGAGACTGTATGTCTAAACAAAAATAAAAACATGATAACAATAATCTCAACATTCTGCAGAATAAGCATCTGATCATTATTTGCTTTCTTGTTCTTATGACAGAGAATTATGTGTGTGTGTGTGTGTGTGTATGCACATGTATGTGCCTCTTTGTGTGCATGTGTGTGCCAACAGAAGCAAACAGGTTGGAAGGGGCCTCCGTGTATCTGATGAGGCCACTACTGTCCTCAAGCCCCAGAGGTACTGGCGTTCCAACAACTTGGCAGTTCTGTGAGCTTCCAGTCTCATGCAACTGCCTTTCACCCTTACCGCTGCCGTCTCCGCCCCTCAAGAATAGACTCACCCGAGCCATCTCACAACCCAGAGGGTCTGGATCTTCCCATTTCCCAAGATAAAGAAAATGTACCTTGTGCCCCAACAGTTTCTTTCCTTTACCCTAGAAAACAGAAGGAAAAAATCCTCTTCTGTTGGACCTCAGAGAAACAGCCAAATAAGCAAAGCACAGGACACCCTTTTTCTACTGGGGCAATCTTGGAGCCTATTTAGGCATTTGGGAAGACCCTAATCATTGTCCTTAAATTTAGTTCCAAAAGGTCTGAAACAGCAGACCATGGGAAATTTTTCTAAAATTCTAGAATCCCTTTAAAAATCTCACAAGAGTATTCATAAAGTCTACTCATGATTCTCTGACTTCCAAGTTGGACTGGGCTTAGCCCTGCACAAAAGATGAAAGTGTATGTGTGCGTGTTGTTACATATTTATACACACACACACACACACACACACACACATAGTTTTTTGTCAAAGTTAAAAGGATTCTACAATCTTGTTTACTAATCTAAGACATCATACTTCCAAAAGCACATCTTTAAGACCTTGCTACTGAAATTTAAATTTGTTGTCTAGGCTCATTAGAGATGAAAAACAACTGTTCATCATTTACAATTCATCAGCTGGTTGGGAGTCTGCAAATCTGTTCTCTCTCTCTCTGTCTCTGTCACACACACACACACACACACACCATTATACCTCAGCCTAATTTCTAACCTAAATTAAAATTCTAACTTAATAGATTCGAAGGGGATTCTTTTAGCCACTAATAGGAAGTGGTGTCTCCTTTTCCGTGGAATGCCTGGGCTTCCCTAAAGTGGTGTTCATTTTTTTTCTTGGCTATAAATATATGAAAGACTCTGTCAAGAGTGCCCGCAGGGGATGAAAGTAAAAGTGCAGTAAAGAGCAAGTTTATGAGTTTGCAGCTTGAGTGACTGGCTCCTAGACAGGGACCCATCTGTTCTGGGGTTGCCTTGGGATCTTCTCTGTCAAGGAAGCCCAGCCTGCCTAGAGGCCTCACATGCAGCTGGGCAGCAGACAAGGGGTGACACCAGTGTCCCTGCAGGTCCATCCAAACCCTCTACATAGGTCTCTTTGGGGAATTTCTTCTGGACCCAGCTCTTCCTACATCCTCAGGATGTCTTAATGGCAATGGACATGCCTCTTTAGAACTCATGTGACTCCAAAACCCAGGACCATTTCCAGCCCCAGTGTTTGAGAATCAAACTCTTCTCAAGTCCCTCGAAGTCCAGAAGGCAGGACTTTATCACATCTGTAAAGAATCTGCAAAGTGGGAGCTAAAAAGAGACTTTGAGGTCTATTTCATGGGTGGCTTTATTTTCTTCTTTTCCACTTTCTTTCCCACAAAGAGTGACCAAGTGTCTACGACATGTCAGGCACTGGGCTGAAGACTGGGTTTATGGAGGTGAATAAGCTGCAGCTGATTTGCAAGAAGCTCACAGCCCAGTGGGGACAGCAAGTCAACAAGAAATTGCAATCCTCTGGGTCCCATGAGATCATGGGAGAAGATCCATAACCCACGTTGACCCAGTGTGGGGACAGGGTCAGGGACGGCCTTCCAGAGAAGGAGAAGCTGGGCTGAGTTTGAGGACTGATCGGGACGGGGCTGAGGCAGGGCAGGGGCCAGTGGGGAAGACAGAGGCTAGGAGGCAGGAGTGGGCGTTTTGGACAGAGAGAAAAGCATGTCCAAAGGACCTGGGATAGATCCAGTAAGGGAGGTGGCACCTCATAACTAACCGTATGTTCAGTCTGGCTGGAACATGATATGCAAAAACCACAGGGTTAAGAGGGAGGTAGGCAGGGGCCACATGCCGAGGGGCCTGCAATGCAACTAGGGCCAAGGGAAGAGAGGCGCCAGCCAAAGCCACACCAGACGGCCGGCTCTCCCCATTCCCCATCCGAAGCTGGGCTATCGCTCAGCATTGCCCAAGGCTTCTTAACAGGCATCGCCTTTGGCATTAGGAGGACAGTTTTTTGTTGTTGGCCAGTGTCCTGCATCTTGCAGGAAGTCCAGGAACCCTGGCCCACGGCAGCAAATGCCAGTGGCACCTCTGTGGGCCTCACGGCAACATCAGCCCCAAAGCATTCCCAGAAATTCCCGCTAAGAACCTCTGCCCAGAGGGAGGGAATGGGGAAGAGGAGTCTGGAGAGAGGAAACGATTCCATGTGGGTTGTATGTCCTCACTGCCAGAGGCCTCTGGGCTCATGTTTCCTGGGGCAGAGGGAGAAAGAGGAGACTGGAGGTGTAGGTGTGGTACTTTGACCTCTGGTGGAAAAGCAGCGTCCAGGCACAGAGCTCAGGAATCTGGATCTTTCCTCCTCGCTGTCCCTCTCTCTGGTGGTCCTTCCCACAGGCCCTCCCTACCAAGACTTTCTTTTTTTTGGTTTTGTTTTCCAAAGCAACATGGTATCCATGCAGGGGCTGGTAATGAAGTGAGATAAAAAGCCAGTGCAAGTGTTCAGAGTGTTGCTGGGAGGGCTTGATCCACGTTCTGGAAGCACAGCTCAGCTGGGGCTGGGAAGCTGAAGCCACCGATAACGGTCGCTCCAGGCATCGGACAGTCAGCAGGGGGCAGAGCCGCTGCAGCTGGGAACAAGATGAAACCCAGAGGTGGGGCTGCCAGGTGGGGGACAGGGACACATGAGGCTCTTTCATCCAGGCTGAGATAAAATCCACAGCCTGCCACCACCAGTGCTTGGGAATTAATTCCTGAATTGTAACACACACACCAGATGACGGGACAACTTCGGGGATGTGAGGACAATATCAAAGCCCGGGAGCTAAGAGAGAGATTCTGTTTTCCCTCCCACTCAACGTGCCCCTTAAAGGAGGTGCTGACCCCAGTGAGTGGCCCGCCTGTGGGCAACAGGGCCCAGCTTGGCGTCGGGGCCGCATCCCTGCCCGGGCTCGGGTGGGTCGGCCGGGCCGGCGTGAGCAGGGCACAGACGGGGCCTCTCTGCTTGCTCCCCAAGGACTGTCCCCAGCTGGTGCCCACGGAGGAGATCCTGATTCCAGTTGGGGAGGTGAAACCGATCACCCTCAAGGCTCGCAACCTGCCGCAGCCGCAGTCTGGCCAGCGCGGCTACGAGTGCGTGCTCAGCATCCAGGGCGCCGTGCACCGGGTGCCCGCCCTGCGCTTCAACAGCTCCAGCGTGCAGTGCCAGAACAGCTCGGTAAGAGGACTCGGGCCCGGCCTCCTCGCGCCCACGCCGAGGCCTCACCCCGGCCTGCCCCAGCTTCCAGAACCTTCCGGGTTCACAGGCCGACCCCACATCCCCAGGGACAGAGGAGCGTGCTAGCGTCCTGGACCGCTCCACCAGAGCAGAGCAGGGGGATGGTGCCAGAGGAGGTGGAGATCTTGGGGGACCCCCTGGCAGACGCTGAGCTCTCTATGCCCCTTCTGAAGTTCAAGGGGTGCCTCTTTGCCTTCAGTGAAACTTCAGCCAGAGCGAGTCAGCTCCAGCCAGCACCCTGTCCCCATTGGGAGGGCCAGTAAGGTGGAGGAAGGCTGGAGGAGAGACGGGGAAGTAACACCAGCCGAGGTGACAATGTGGGTGGAGGGAGGAAGCAGTGGATCCGGAGCGGCAAGGGTTAATAAACCAATCCTGAATGGCAGACAGAGAGCACGAGGTGTTTAATTATAATACCAACCCAGAGAAGATCTTTTTATCTGCCAACTCCCTGTCTCTGACCGTGGGGGGTCAGCTGGGAGATGGGGGGGAGGGGGTGACATGACAAAGGTGTTGAGGGAAGCTAATTCGCCTGGGAGAGATAAAGAGAATCTGGGCCTCTTATCAGGGAGCTGTCAGATTCCCAGGTCACTGGCGCTTGATAGAATTTGCAATCGGAAGGCCGCCAAGCGCAAGGGGAAGGCGGGATGAGAAAGGTATGGAACACAACAAAGGAGGGAGGTGGCAGGGGAGGGCTGGGGGCAGGAGCACATGCCCTCCAGAGCTGAGTGAGCATCGGGGTGGGGCGGGGGCAGTCCCCACCAGGAGATGCCCGGAGGTCCCCTTCGCAGAGGGACTGTTTCTGAACCGTGGGAAGGGCTTAGAGGTCTTCTGCAGGATCAGCAGAGAGAGAGAGTTGACTCTTGGACACAGCTTGAGGCCTTTCGTGGTCAGACCTATGCCCACAAATCTGTGGGTCCCTAGTGGACGGTTGACCGAAGTAAGGCTCTCGTGTGCAGAAGGAGAGGCAGAGAGGGCCACCGCAGGGCCAGGCCAGCCAGTCACTCAGCACCGCTCCTCTCCAGACCCTGGGATCACTGGGCAAGGGAGCGGGCGTCTGCTCTGCCTCCAGAAACACACGGGCTTTCTAGAGAGACCAGACTCACGTGTGAAAGGAGACACGGCGGCTCCCGGGAAGTGCTGGTTACAGTCGCGAAGCGCAGGGAAGTTGGCCGGCAGGGGGCTGGCAGAGAGGTCACCTGGGGAAGGCAGCTCTCAGCTGGACCAGAGGAATAAGGGTGGGTTAACAGTAGGGTTAGAGCTGCCTTCCTTATGCAATATGAGCTCAACAAACACACAGCCCGGGGCTTAAGCAGACAGGTGAATTCAAAGATTTCTGTAGGCGAGCAGTCTAGGGGAAGGTTGGATCCGATTGTGCAAGGCGCTGAGTGCCAGGGGTTTGGGGTGGGATCCTGTTAGCATTAGTGACTGGCAGTCCGGGAAAGGACATCGTAGGGGTGATTTGAGTAGCACACGCGAGGTTCCTTGTAACCCTGACCCCCCGTGACAAGGGACCGCATAAAGCCGTGCGCCTCCGCCCCTGTCCCTGCAGTACCAGTATGACGGGATGGACATCAGCAACCTGGCCGTGGACTTCGCCGTGGTGTGGAATGGCAATTTCATCATTGACAACCCACAGGACCTGAAAGGTAAGCGGCTACTTCCAGGTAGAAGTTTGATCTTTGCGTGACCCCGGGAAAAGACCGGGGCTGGAGGGATCAGAGCCAGCCCAGCCGCTGGGCCATGAATAAAACACTCCCCCCGTCAGCGGAACTCTTCAGAGGATCCTAAAGCAACATTTGGAGCCATCAAAGGAGTCCTGTTGGGAGCCCTGTTTTATTGCAACCGGAGCATCCGCCGGGCGGCTGCCGATCGTCCGCGTTATTCCTCGGCTCCCGCAGGCTTTGAAGCGTCTGCAGAACCTGACCTAGGAGAACAGCAGGCGGGAACGTCCTGCCAGTTTCCCTGGAAATGGAGATATTGTTTCCAGCCAGGCTCTTGTTCCCCTGTCCTTGGCCCTGGTCACGGTCCCTGCACAAAGAAGGTTTTTGAGGCTGCTCTCCAGGTGCCGAGGTGGGAGGGAGGGAGGGACCGGCATGCGGACTCGAGCTCACATCTGGAGCAAAGAGGCTCAGGAAGGGAGCCGGGCTGAAGAAGGAGGGGCTCCTCCAGGAGGGCCCCTTTATTCTTCATTCTGTAAACCCACCGTGTGGAGCTCCTCCTGTGGGCCAGGTAGGCCCCGCCCAAAATGCAGCAGGTACCGAGGTTCCAAGAGCGATCAGAGGAACTCCAGTGTGGTGGGTGCTCGCCGTGGGCAGGCACTCACTGCATCATTTATTAAAGATCATTTTTCTTAATCATCACTATCACTCTGAGAGGTACGTGCTATTATGATTGTCATTTTAGAGATGAGGAAACTGAGACCCAGAGAGGTTAAGAAATGGGTTAGACAGTTGCATAGTCTGATTGCAGAGCTCACACGATTCCCACACGTGGCTCTGGGCACCTGCTGCTCAGGCTACTGTGGGATTTGAACTCTCTTCCCCCCAGAACACATCTCCCTATCCCCTCCCCGCACCACGAGCCACCTGTCTCACCGAAGTTCAAGCGAGAAGAGTTGTCACAAGCCTCTGCTTCCACCCGACGGGGACGGGAAGCCCCAGTGGAGCCTGCAAGTGTCCCAGCGTCCGTGGGGCTCCACTCCCTGTCCCCCGAAGCTGCCATTACAATCGATGCCACTTAGACCGGGAGAAAGAAACTGAGCCCGGGAGATTTTTTTCTTTTTTTCCTCCTATTTCTCCTCATACCCAGGCCAAATTTTCTCACTGCTAAGAGAGAGGAGACATTTTCCCCGCTGAGGATCTGGGCTTCGAGCCCAGAGGTTGCCTGTGCACCTGGAGCTCAGAGAACAGCCACTTCCAAGCTGTTGCATTGGAACTCTGCTTGTGACTCTCTCGGCGCCCAAGAGGCTCCAGGAGACAGCACAGGCAGCGTCATCTTCACACGTGTGTCCCCACCACCACCCCAGAGCCTGAGCGTCACTGGAGGCTGCTCGTTGTGCTGGGCAGAGAGGATGATGGTGTTTAAGGACTCAGGTTCTAGAGTCCAGCAGAGCAGGGTTCAACTGCTGCTCTCTGGCCTACAGCTGTGTGGACTCCAACTGATTGTCGCTCCCCTGTGTATCCCGGGGTCCTTATCTGTGAAACGGAGGCAAGGATGTCCCCCACCTCGGGGCCATCGTGAGCAAATGAGCTCATGGCCGGGGACCGTGTCCTATATATTTACACATGCTCGACGGGGTGTTCCCGAGCATTTTAAGATTTCCATTTCCTGCCCTCTCCCTTAAAAAGCCATAGGCGGGAGAATATTTAAGTCTAAGTCCTGCAGCTGGGACTGAGGGACCGCAGGGCAGAGCAAAAGAACAGGGTGGGGACCTATGGAAGAATTAAAAAATTATCCCCTCCCCCCCGGGCCGTGCACCTTAGCTCCGGCAAAGACACACCGCCTGTTCCTGACAGCTTATAAGTGCTTGACCAGAGAGCTGAAAAATGACTTTCGGAGTATTTTGCCTCTGGATAATCCTACTTGGGACTCTCAAGTTCAAAACCCCAGCAGGCAAGGAGCTAAGCCCCAGGCTCATAAAGCACAGTTCCATTGACTGGCCAGTTATACCAGGGCTTTTAAGTCAGTAGGAGACAAAAAGCAAAGATAAAGGGTTTGCAGACTCCAAATGTGACCTGTTAGGTAGTCAGTTTGTCCTTTCTGGGGACATATGCTCCATCTACAGGGGCTGTGAACAAGACTATGTCACCCTCTTTTTTTAATCAGCAGTGACTCTCCTACTGCCAGCCACCTGGCCTTTCTTTAAGCCCAGGCTGACTCCTCTCCCGGACCCGGGCGATTCCCAGTGTGCCAGGCAACATGCCCCTCTTCTCAGGACCTACTGGCCCCCCAACTCAGCGCAGCGACTTGGAGTTTCAGGATTCCAGTTGGGAGTCTGGGACTCATCATGTTTCCTTCGGAGCTTCCTTTTTACCTGCGGGGGGGGGGGGGGGGGGAGTAGCCCTTATCTCTTGCAATGAGGCCCACGTGTGAGAGCTTGCCAGTAAGAGACATGGCAGCATAAGAATGTAGCATGAGTTCAAAGAAAAGATAATAAGCATGTGTAGAACATCAGATATGTTACAGGCATTGTGCTAAGCACTTAATATACAACATCTTACTCAAACCTCACAAAAAAACAATGATTATCTCCATGTTAGAGATTAAGTACGCGAGGTTCAAGGAGGTTAAACACTTTGTCACATTGCTAGGAAGTAGTGAAGCCACAATTAGAGCACTGATCTGATTCAGTCTACAACCAAGACTCTTAAACAATACTATTTTCTATAGTGCCTTTAAGTGACAGCTAAGAGGCTCAATTTATGAATTCCGCATCTGTCATTCTTGCAGTGATGAGGATGATAGGTGGTGTGATCTGTGTGTTGGGGACAGTTCTTACCGTGTCTGCAAACAGAGGGTACGTTGCGAGCGGCCCTCTCCAGTCCCCTCTGTGACCACGCCCTCTCTTTGCAGTCCACCTGTACAAGTGTGCGGCCCAGCGAGAGAGCTGCGGCCTCTGCCTCAAGGCCGACCGGAAGTTCGAGTGCGGCTGGTGCAGCGACGAGCGCAGGTGCACCCTCCACCAGCACTGCTCCAGCCTCTCCAGCCCCTGGCTCGACTGGTCCAGCCACAATGTCAAGTGCTCCAACCCCCAAATCACGGAGGTGAGTCCCTCAGTTTCCCAGAGCAGCAGGGGACAGCCAGCCAGGAGCTGTCCCCAGGGCAGTGGGAGAGAAGTAAGTGCGAGTTAAGCTTATGTGGATAAACTCTTGGTGTGGGGTGAACGTCATGCAGCGGGTGTAGGAAGCCCCTCGCATGTGTCTCGATGGCCCCTGTCTAGGCATAAGGGACGAGGGTGTGGAAGCGCAGCTTCATGCCTGTGCGTGAGTGTGCATGCACGCCAGCGTGCGTGTGCACATGACAAGGGAGACGCAGGGCCAGCCCCGGACTCCCTGCCAAGCTGGCTGAGCCAGGTAAGGACGAGAAATTGGCTCCGTGGTGGGTGAACATTTCAGAAAGCAGGTTTAGCTTTTCTCAGCAGAAATGTGATTTCAGGAGCCGCAATTAACTCAGAGCTGCAAAGTTGAAAACAGAAAAGGAAAGTAAAGGCGGTCACTACGTTAGCCACTGTGCCATTCCCCAGGATTTAGTCTCTGTCCCAATTTGTTCATGCATTCTAATGGAAAGAAATAGGAAATTAACTATCCTGTGGGGGAAAAAAATGATGTTTCCAAAATAGCACATTTCAGAGGAAGATGAATAAATGATGTGGGTGAAAATGCAGTCGCTTGGGTTTCGAATGGCCGGGACGAGGAGTAGCGCACTACACTGTGGCTGCATTGTGTGCTCATCACTTTTCACCAGTCCCTATGCAGTGGCTGTCACTTGTGCTTTGAAACTAATTGCACGTTCCTGAAGGTGACTAGGAGGAAAGGCCCAGGCAAGGACCCCGGTGTTCTGCATGTTTGAGAAAGCAGGAAGGGACTGCTCCTCTTCTGAGCTGATGCACTATCCCTTCTCGTACCAGCCAAAGAAAGCAACTCCGGTTCTCGCCTATGTCACCGAATGCTGGGAAAGTTCCAGAGCATCCCTAGGATCACGTAGAAACTTCAGTTTAAAAAAGAAAGCCCCAAGATCAAATGAATGGGTGCTGTTAACCTACAGATGGGTCATTTTCAGAGGATGCAAATATTTATTGAACGTGCTCAGCGCTGTCACGTTTAATCCTCACGACAGTGGTGGGAAGTAAGTCTTCTCACCTCCACTGTGCGGAGGAAGAAAACGAAGTTCAGAGACATTGAGGGACCTGCCCGAGTTCACACAGCTGATAAGTGACAGAGCCACTATTTGAACTCACATTTATTTAACTGTAAAACCAGTTTTAAATTCTCTATGATTTGCCCAAATAACATAAAGCAAGAAGTGGTGCTTCTTCTTCCTTAATATCCAGTCCTGTCCCAGCTGGTAGATGGGACCCAGCCACACGGCAGCACGTCCCGGGGAAAGTGCCCTGCTGTGGCCGGCATCCACTGCATCCGGGTCCTCACGCGTCCGCGTCGGAAGGTGGTATGAGAGTGTAGACACCACCCTGCAAAGATAGGGCTGGGTCGATCCCGTTTTACTCTTGACCCTGGCTGGTGATGATGCCTCTTTACTTTGTCCTGTGTCTTTGTGTCGCTGGAAGAGAATGTCTGTGGGCGGGGGCTGCCAGGGGCGCCCCGGCCCCTGCACCCAGACGGAGAGCTTCCTGAGCTGCTCGGGGCTCCGTGCCTTCTCCCTGATTCTAGTGATTTCCGCCAGCTGCTGGCCTGAGGACTTGCAATGCTCTGTAATTCTTCCTGCTGCAGCAGTTGTCAGTCTCTCCGTCTGCGAGCACCTGTGGCGGTGGCGGGGGGGGGGGGGGGGCGGGGGGGCGTTGAAATTAGGCAAGGACTCGCCACCGCCGCCGTCAGCACCTCCCTGGGAGCAGCTGCACCGGCCACTAGGGCGACAGGCAGGGGCCTCTTCCCAGCCCCGGGGCAAGCTTCTCCCCGGGAAACCTCTGCTGCAGCCGCCCTGCTCGCTGACCGGGGAGCGACAGGCTGCTCTGTTCACAGAGGACACCCAAGCTACACATGGCTAATTAACCCCCTGAGGTAATTAGGCTGTAATTGATTTTCCCCGTGTGAACACACCAGCAGGAGTCGGAGGCCCCGGTCTGCTGTTGGTGTTTTACAAGTCGAGGCTGTTGAAAAATGAAAGAGCATCTTTGGGGAGAGATGAGTCCGTGCTGTGTCCCAAGCCGCCCAGGGGGTGGGGGTGTCACTCTGGACGGGACGTGCAGGACCGAGTGTCCGGGCCTGGAACGTTCTTCTCGCTGCTATCTGGAATATTGTCTTTCACCTCCTACCCGCCCCCAACACCTGATCCTCTTTTCCCTGTAAAAGCCATTTTCTATTTCTTTAACTTTTCATCTTGAAACATAATTTCAGACTTAGGAAAAGGTACAAAAATAGTACAAAGGACTCTCCCATACCCTTCACCCAGATTTGCTAAAGTTAGCGTCTTACATAACCACAGTACAATTATCAAAATCGGGAAATTAGCATTGCTAAAATAATACCAGCTAATATATACGTGCCTTATTACCATGTTGCCAACTGTCCCACTGATGTCCCTTTTCTGGCCCAGGGTCCACTGCAGGGTCCCATGTGACATTCCATTGTCATGCCTCCTTAGTCCTTTAATCCTCAGTCTTTTTTTGTCTTTCCTGACCTTGATACTGTTGAAGCGAACAGGCTGGTTATTTTGTAGAATGTTTCTCAATTTGGATTTTTCTGATGCTTCCTCATGATTAAATTCAGGTTATATATTTTTGGCAAGAAAGACTAAAAAAAATAAAATAAAATACACACTACTTGTCCAAAGGGCAGAGGAGACAACCTGAAGGGGATCTCAAAGACCAAATCCAAGCAATTTGAGCAAGAAAAGAAATAATGATAGTCATGGACCCTACCAATAGAATAAAATAAGAATCCATGGTCCTTGTTGATATAAATAAAGAAACAAATAAATAAATAGCCGAGGAGAAAGGAATCTCTTCTTTACACCAGAATTCCAAAGAATAAATGTGGAAGGAATTAAGGAAGTAGAAATCACCATTTGGCCAAGTACGCAGTAATAACTGGTTCAGAAATTAGTAGATGAAAGTGTGGTGAGAAACAGGATATTTGTGTAGTCTTAAGCCATCTTCCCATAAAATACTTGTCAATTATAACAAGAGCAATAGTAACTGCACAGTGGAGAAAGCTGGTGGAACCCACCTTAGCCAAGTAACCAAAGTTAACAAAACCAATATAATGGGAAAAATCAACCTCATGTGCCTTTAAGCAGAATTCTCCAAGAAGGGCACAACCTCATTTGTGTGGCATTTTTATCAAGAATGCACCATTTATTAGAAGTAACCTTTAAGGAGAATCAGTGCATTTTCTTTACTTCGGCTTTCTTGGCTAATCCCTTCACAGTGGCATGACCTTTTCCCTAAACCTCTCAGTCATTGGAATTCCAGGAGGTCCACATGCCTGTGTAAGTACCTCCTTGTCTCCAGCCCTGATCTTTGGAACGTGCGCCTCCTCAGTGCAGCAAACAGAAGCCACTTGCTCCAAAGATCCTTCTTGAAAGGTGGAAAGAGAAGGATTCTACGACGGCCTGTGACAGCCACTGGGGGTGGGCGGGGAGGAGCAGAGTTTCCAGTCCTGGAAACCAGTGGGAGCTGGAATGCGTGCCTCCTGCCCAGGAGGAGCAGAGAAATAAGCCAGATGACCTCAAAGGAGGTCCTGCTTTAGGGACAGGAGTGGGCTCAGGCACCCTTAGATAAACAGCTGTGCTCCCGCTTTAACCCCGCCTTGCCCCGGTCTCCATGGCAACCGAGCCCACCCCTCGAGACCCATCTCTTATGGCAGATTCATGCAGGACAAGGCATACAGGCAGTTGAATTTCTCAGTCTGCATAAACTTCAGGTCAGGACCCCCCGGGGACCCACCGCCTGCTCCTTCTCAGCCAGGCCGTGGTGGCTGTGGTGTGATAATGGCTCTGTCCTCCTAGGGAGGCATCCTGGCCGCTCCCATTTCCAGCTGTCATCCTGGGTGTCTGTGCACGTGTCACCTGCTCGGCCCTGGGGGGCAGGAGACGTGCAGAGGACCGCAAAGCCTGCGAGGTGCCCGGCCCGCCGCGTTTCCGTGCTGCCCAGCGTGTGCTTCGGCACCTGCCGGCACCTCCAAAAGGAGGATGTCAGGAGCGACCCCCGGGGGAAAGGAAGGCCCAGGGAACACATTCCCTAAAAAAGCCGTGCGTGGGGCAGGATCCAGCAGAAAGGGAGGAAAGGAGACTCAATATGTTCTCGGGGAAAATGAACCCAGGGAGGGCAAAGGGACGGTGGAGCTGACACGCAGAGGTCTCTGCACCAAGTGAGGATATCGGCTTCCTGGGGCGGACGTAACGCTCTGGAGGCCAGGAGTCCAAGGTCAAGGTGTGGGCGGTGTGGGTTCCCCCTGAGGGCGGTGAGGGAGAATCTGTGCATGCTCCCTCCTCGCATCTGGGCGCTGCTGGCAATCTGTGGCATTCCTTGGCCTGTAGACACATCAACCTGATTTCTGCCTTCATGCTCACATGGTGTTCTACTTCCATGTGTCTGTCTGTCTGTCTGTCTCCCTAATGTTTTAAAAAATAAGGACCCATCACTTCTTTCTCCTTTGGCTAAGATCAAGTATAAAATAAAGACCCAGTCCTATTGGATTAAGGTCCCCCCCAGTGACCTCATTTTAAAATGATTACCTCTGTAGTGACCCGATCTCCAAAGAAAGTCACATTCTGAGTTAGGGCTTCAACATAGGAAACTGGGGGGCGGACAGAATTCAACCCATGAGAGTGAGCATTCCGAGCAAAGGGAGACGATGCCACCATTCCAAGTAAATTAATGAATGAATTAAAGGAATATTTAACTAGTGACTGCTGTGTGCCATGCACTGGGCCTACACTTGACAGCTGTCACATGTATACATGAGTCCTGGGTGGGGAGACTGGGGTGCAGCCTCTCTCCCGGTATAACCCCGGCCTGTCCTTGGACATTGGCCAACCGGAAGAGGCTGGAACTACCTGCCCTGGAGGCCACGCTGCTTCCTCCAGA